ACATTGCAAGGTGATCCATAATTCTTACATAATAACATTAAAAGTACAATGTAGAGTAGAATTTGCATCACGAGTAGGATTTTCATTTCGTATTTTCGTTGGTCGTTCGGAATCCTACTTAACCTTGTTTTTTTAAATTTTTTATGTTTAGTACAGGGACTTTTGTCCGATTTTTGGGCAACTTTAAAAAATCACAGAAAATCCAAACTTGATCAGAATCTGCTCAATCTCTCTACGCAGCATAAGTACATGTATATGCATCAGGAAATGTAATAAAATTGAGGAATTTTCTACTTGTCAATTTTTGTCAATTCTTTGAAAAATCCCTGTACTATACCCATATAAAAATTTCAAGCTTGCTACAAGCAGTTCACAACCTTGCAAGGTTGTAGCAACCTGGTAACAACCTTGTACAAAAAGTGCTGAAGTTGTGACTAACATGTTACAAACATAACAACCTTGTGACAAGGTTGTCCAAAGGTTGGCAGGAAACTGAGGTTTAATTAAGTACGCCCCACGATGATATGAAGCTATTGTTACCATATATAAAGGGACCATTGACCAGCACTTATACAAGTCAATAAAGATAACATTAATACACATCCACATCTTTATACATTAGCTACATGTATCATAGATACATTACAAGTATCTAGAAATCATTTGACATTATATGACATTAATTATGTGTTGATAGGCTTTCAGATTATAGTTATTCTATTGAATTTATTGTACATTGTAACAAGGTTGTCACAAGGTTGTTACATGGTTGTCACAAGTTTGTTACATGGTTGTCACAAGGTGGAAAACGTGTCAATTCCAGGGTTTTTACAAGGTGGTGGGCCTTGTGGCCAGGTAGTGACCACCTAGTAACAACAACTTTGATACAAGGTTGCCACAACCATGCTGCAACCTTGTTTTTTCTATATGGGTAGTACAGGGACTTTTGTCCGATTTTTGGGCAACTTTAAAAAATCACAGAAAATCCAAACTTGATTGGAATTAGCTCAATCTCTCTACGCAGCATAAGTACATGTATATGCTTCAGAAAATGTAATAAAATTGAGGAATTTTCTACTTGACAATTTTTGTGAAATTTTACAAAAATCCCTGTACTATAGTACAGGGACTTTAGTCCGATTTTGAAGCAACTTTAAAAAATCATAGAAAATCCAAACTTGATTGGAATCAGCTCAAACTTTCTACACAGCATAAGTACATCTATATCCACCAGAAATAGAAATAAAATTGAGGAATTTTTTACTTGTCAATTTTTGTGAAATTGTACAAAATCCCTGTACAGGGACTTTTGTCCGATTTTAAAGCAAATTTAAAAAAACATAGAAAATCCAAACTTGATCAGAATCAGCTAAAACTTTCTACACAGCATAAGTACATGTATATCCATCAGAAAATGTAATGAAATTGAGGAATTTTTACTTGTCAATTTTTGTGAAATTTTACAAAAATCCCTGTACTGTAGTACAGGAACTTTTATCCAATTTTGAAGCAACTTTAAAAAATCATAAAAAATCCAAACTTGATCAGAATCAGCTCAAACCTTCTACACAGCATAAGGACATTAATGTGTATCAGAAAATGTAATAAAATTGAGGAATTTCCTACTTGTCAAATTTGGTGAAATTTGACAAAAATCCCTGTACTATAGTACAGGGACTTTTGTCTGATTAAATGAGCTTATAGTTTCTACACAACATTAGGACAAGTATATGTATCAGAAAAATCTTAATAATGGAGCGTTGCCTACCTTTCATTTTTGCATACATTCAGTGTGTTTGTGGGTTCGGTACCTGAATGAGTGGTAATAATGCATCTAGACCTTTCTCCTTTAACCTATAGCATAAAATAATACAGTACTGTATGTACATATACAAGAATTAATGAAGGAGGGATTGATCCCTGCTTGTGTACTTACATCATTGGTTTATTGACCATTATTAATGATTGTGCTATAGACTATATAAGTACCTCGACCTAAAGCTTTGAAGGTATAGTGATAGACGATATGATGATGTGTGTGTTACTGATGGTGGTGGTTGTTTCTCTATTGTCTTCTTGTGATGCATTGAAACAGAACTGTAAGTGTGGGGTGTGTGACCTGACAGATAAGGACCAGGACAAAGTATTGTGGAAGTGTCAGAAAGAGAAGGGACTGGCAGAAAAAGAACTAACAAGCAAACTCAATTCAAAGTAGCTGCTATACCAGCATTTTTAGGCTATATATTATATTTATTTTAGTGAAGCAGTGTGTCTAAATTACCGCGTTACTGCTAGCGGAGATTGTGACTTTCGTAAAGAGTTACTTCATGTTGCTCTTGCTAATCCAATCAAAGATATTTGCAATCCTTCACAGACCTTTCCTCGTAGATGCAGCATACACAATCATCCTGAATTCTCATACAAGTATGTCGCCGCATTTTACCTCATTCTTGTATATGCATGTATACTAATAGATGTCATCGTTCTCAGCAGTTCTGTGCTTATAAAACAAAATGTCCTGCAGGATACTATCACATGCCAATAATCACTAGTTTAGATCTACCCAGAGACGATGATGGTAAGATGCATATTGTTTAGTCTTTGAATGTGGGCAACATGCATACATTACATGTACTCTCTCCATTGGTTATAGACATGACTCTCATTCACTAGGTGAGTGCATTGATAAGGTTTCAATTACTTATGATTCCGACAAAGTCATAACAATATGTGGTTCACAAGTTGATGCTGACAGGTTCAACTACAGAAAGGACAGGCTCTCTTCTCTCCCTTTGACTATTACTTTTGAAAGCAGTCAATGCTGCCACAACTGTGGGTTCCATATTTGGGTTAGCTGCGTACCAGATCCGATTATTAGTGGGTCAAGATTATCACCATTCACTCAAGGATATAGAGTATGTCTTTTTGTAGATAAAGCAGTGATTATACTCTTCTTTGTAGAATCCTCAAAGGAACTATATCTATCGTGATGAGAGACGAGGAGATGTACATGTTTCTGTACCATTGGGAGCTCAAGTCGTTTATAAAGATTTATTTATTACTGTAGTAAAAGGAGACCAGAGCCTCTACCAGTTCACCGATATGCAGTCTTTAAAAGTAGTTGATGATCTATTGGGTAACAATACTTACTACACTACAGCAGAAAATGTAAAGTTATATGGTCATGGTTAGTGTCATAATGCACCATTCGTTGTATGGAACATTATTATTAGGACTTTTAAAAGTACATAAGGACAGTGCTCTGTATGAAAATACAAGAATCCCATCTGAAGTAAAATAACACATTTTACTGTATAGCACTATTCAATTTATAGATAAAGCCAAACTACCTTGAGAATGGGTACATTATAGACACAGTAAAGCTTCTGTCACCTTTTCTCATTAATTCTACTTATCAAACATTCATAGAACCAGGTTTATCCAAACAGTTCATGCTTACATTATCTCAGTATTAGCCAGCAAAGTCCCTTTGCCGATAATTGCTGGAAAGTTAAACCGGTACAAGCCACAGTGTCAAGAGACGGCAGAGATTACAATGGGATTCCCTCATGCAAGTTGTAATCCTTTCCATTACCCAACTCCCAGAGATATTTCAAGAGGTATACACTGTCTCTTAAACTTTTGCTAGTTATGATGTATCATTTAGCTCTTTCTGAAGCAAAGTACCTCAGGCGTAACAGCAGGAACCCCTTTGTACTCACAGTTGCTGGAGATGCTATTGAAATGCTGCAAGACTTGACCTCTGACTAAATAACAATTACTGATAACCACATTGAATACATGTACTATTTAATATACCTATTATGCACTAGAATAGGGTGGGGCTGATAGCAGCAAAATTTAGCTGCAAGCAATTGGTCATTAATCACGTGATTTGCTAATTGCTAAGTTGTTAATCAGTAGAACAAGATGAAGTTGTTTGTGATCTTAGCTCTTATTGCTCTGGCTAGCTCTGCCTCTCTGGACTGCAATCAGTTGTTAACCAGTAATGGGTTTTCCAGTAACTTCAATGAGACTATAGCTCATGCAATTCACTCTATGACTGTTGAAGCTCTCAAGACATTCAATCCGAGGGCCACCGAACGAAACAATGTTCCAACAGTTAATCTGGACAGGTCCTCTTCCGAGAAGGTACTCCCTTATGCTCCGTCTAAACCAGTGGGGGATGACTTCTCCACAAGGTCCATGAACCTAATTGATAGTATCCTGGGTGAGATTGGGAATCCAAATGATGGACTGGGCCCCATGTGGTCTCCTGTGGAAAGGATAGCACATTCTTTTCATATGTGGGACTTGTGGACTCGCATTCATGAGGTCTATGAGGAAAAGGTTCAACAGCAGCAACCAACAGACACAATCTGCAGTTGCTTACTGGACACCAAAACAAATGGAATATATAAAGTAATCATATTATAGCATATACTGCATTAACACTACCTATCTGTGTATAGGCTGTACAGTGGGTATCTGATCATTATGATGTAGGTACACCAATCACTTTATTGAACAGACCAATTCCTAAACTAACTGATGAGTCATCATGGAAGGTATGGAAGAATCGCCTCCTTTACTACTATGATGATAAGGCCCTCTTTGATGCTGCAAGCTACCTCTACTGTGCAACAAAGTCATTCTAACTCTTGCATTGTGCTTCCCGCTTTGCTGTGCCTGTGAATATTAATAATTATTGTTATAGCCTGCTTTGCTGTTACAATGCATTTTGCTAATGAATAATATACTTTTATAAAATCAATCAGTATAATAGTTAATGCGGCAGCAAAATTATCATGCAACAAAAAGTGTTTCCTAATTAGAGTTACTTTTCTCAATTATTGCACTGTGAAGGAGTTTACCAACTTGAACGGCACAACCCCAATGGAAGCAGCCGCCTTTAGACCCGTGACCATAACAATGTACAACAACGCTCTCCTTGTAACTTGAATCAATGCAAAGACGAACTTTAGAACGCATTGGACGGAGGCCAGCCCAACTGGTGAGCACTTTTGCAGTCTTAAGACTTGGTACGAGAGCAGTCCCATTCCTAATGAGCAATTGGTTGGTTTCCTCCGAAGGCTCAGTGCTGTGCTCATGAGGTATGGCAGTCACTCCCAGCAATACGTCATTGGGCCGCGGTATTACGCTAGTGATTGAGGTAGGAGACTCCAATATTGTGAATTCTTTTATCCAAGGAGCATGTACCGAGACTATGTCACCTCTTACTGGATATACTGTAGAGTCAGAGGCAAGGACTGCAGATCCTAGCCCACTGCAATTTATAATGATGTCGTATTTGGAGGTCAGTTCAGAGATGCTCTCAATCTTACTGTGAAGAGTATTGCCACCCAGTGCCTTTATCTTACTGAGTAGTTGAGGCAAGTAAAGACGTGAGTCCACCACATATGTGCTGAATGATTCAGCCCAGGGATACCCAGAGGGTATGTTGTAAGACTTGACTTCATCAGTAGAGAGAGTCCTGTATCCATAAGCATGCTCATGCCACCAGGGAAGACTACCAGTCGTTGGTTGTTCGGCCAATGCACGTACACCATGTATCAGTGATATACCCATCAACCCACCCTCCGGTGAATCATGTAAACCTCTAATGTGAGATATGGTGTCTTTGAGCCACTCCTCTGGATCACCCACACCCTCTACAATCCCATCACCACCAGAAGGAGGAATCACATCAAAGGGGAGCATTAATGCTGTGGACTTGTCACTAGTAGTATCAGGACTGAAGGACTCTGATATTAGAGTCAGTTGCACACTCTTCCCATGCTCCTGGAGCAGGTGAAGGGACACAGAAGACCCTATGAATCCAGCTCCTATCACAGCTACTCGAGCCATTTCATCCAGCCACACCTCTTTAGTCTAAAGAGGACCACACCCACCACCCCAACCACACCCACAACACGTGTTCCCTGATCCTGTCAGTCAGAATGTTCTCCTTGGGCAATTTGAGACGTCCTTTGCTTCCAGTCAATTTAATATTCTCAAGGACAAGAGCTGGAGTTCAAATTCAAAACAAGACCCAACTGGAAAAAGAGTTTAAGCTATATCTTGGTTAATATATGCAGTGCATCATTCATTACAAAGTTTTTGCTATTTTTAAACAGATTCTGCTACTAAAGATGATCAGCAGCTGGTTGATTTCATTAAAAGTTGTGCTACTTTACGGTTTGAGGTTCCAACCCAGAGGATTAAACTTGCAGACGACATGATTCAAAGAATAAAGAAGCAAAGTATTTATAATTTTATCATTTATGTATTATTTTGCATTAGGTCTGGTTCCATCATTACAAGTTAAAAATAGTTTGTTACAACTTTATTTAAAAAATCGTCACAAATTTTCACCTTCGAAATTCCTGCAGCAAATGAAAGTAATCAATTATGAATAATGATTATTAATTATTATTACTGCACAGGAGGAGAGTGTCATTCCTAACAGTAGTACATTGTACTTATTGTTACAAGCTTACTGTCGCCAGGGAAACATTGAAGGAGCCAATGCTGTATGTAATTCCTGTTTATTGTTAGTGTTTATTGTTCACAGATATTAGAAGAGTTGATTAATAATGGCCTTGAAATAAACAAAGACATTTATGCTGCCCTCATGATGTGTAATGCCATTAATGGTGACATGGCTGGGGCTAAAGACATTCTTGGGACAATGAAACAAAATGGACTCTCGCCAACACAAACTGCTTACTCAGCACTTTTATCTGGTAAGTCCTCCAGGCTTCGAAATCACCAAATTTTTATTTCATTTTTTGATACATATTATTGATGTCCTTATGCTTTGTAGAAAGTTTAAACTTGAGATGTGACCATTTTTTGAAGCAACAAGCTTGTTTGCTTTTTGAAAAATGAGGCACTTTAATCCTGTAAATTCTTCCGTTACAATTAGTTATTATTTAGAGGTGGGGCTAATGTTAGCATTCAAACATTTTATTAACCAAATCAAACAAAATTAATGTTTGAATGTTTAAACCATCTCATTAGGTTATTATTAATCATAATTGGTTTGTTGTTTAGTAAATGCAAGGCACTAGGTGTATACTGTATAGCTCGTAGTCTAATGGTCGGTTCTTAGTATGACGCATTGCTTTTCATGTGCTAGCGTCATGACCGGAAGTGGTGTATAAACCAATGGGAAAATGTGTCAGAATAGAAATGTTTTCTAATCTGACTCATTGACGCATGCTCCCATTGGTTTATACAGTCGTGATGGACGTGCATGCGTCATGTTGAGAACCCGCCTTTATGATTCAATCTTGTACTGAATAAGTTATAAGTGATTGATTAGTAGGTGTGGTATACACACACTTATTGCTATTGGGATCTTTATTATTAACAAATTAACATTTGAATGTTCCCTCATTTGTTCCAATCCCTGTCAGTAATAGTTATTAATAGTTATTAATTATTAGGTTATGCTTATCATGGAGACTTTGAATCCATTAGACGAATGATTGATGATTTGAAATCTGAGCAGTTTTATGTCAGCCATGATATGTACATTGACATGCTTGATGCTTTGTCTCTTGGAGGAAAGTCGGACAGAATGAGAGAAGTATTGACATTAATAATAGTAATAATGGCTAGTGCTGTATTTTAGCTATTGGATATGGTCCAGAATAAGTTGTTGATGTACAATGACTTGTTGAATAAAATGGAGCTATTTGCAAGTCACGGTGATCTTGTTGGTACTAGTGTCATAATGGAGACACTAGTGGATATAGACAGCTCAGTCCTAATGCTAAGTGATCCTTATAATGAAACTAACCTCCATGCAAGAGGAGTCCGATCATTCAAACTACTGATGCATAGCCTTAGACCAGAGTGAGTTAGTGTACCTGGAGTGACCATGTGCTCCTACTTCATGTGCCTAACCTACTACCAATTTTGTACATTTTTATTTTTAGTAAATTGAAATTATCTGATTTATTTTCATCCATTCCATTGTTTGAGAGAGCCGGAATTTCCAAAGTAGCACTTTATGAGATGTTGCTAAAGGCTTCTATTGACACGAGGAACTGGACTAACCTCAAGGCAGTGCTTGTTAAAATGGCTGCAGAAGTAAGGGTTTTTGCCATGATTACTTGTTCTATTTAATGCCCATTTTTAGGGTCTATCATTAAAAAATATATACATATACCCAGCAATGGCCTCTAGCCGTATATCGAATGATTTAATAGGTGTGGCTTTAATTAATTTTTTGGATCTTAAACTTACATTTTGATTAATTACTGTACTGTAATGTACTGTACTGATCACCTTACTGTGTTATGAATAGATTTAAAAGAATGGATTCATTTCATTAAACAGCACAACATTCGATTTGACGAGATGATGTGAGGATGAAAGATTTTATTATAACTGGACATTAATGCTTTTGTCTTTCTTCAGGCTCTCTTTTTGTCAAAAAGCTCTCAAGGAAGACTTCATTACATTCTTTGATTTGATATTTGTTAGTCTTCAGTTTAAAGTAAAGCTATTATTATTATTATCCTCAGGATAAAGGATTTGTTGATGATCCAGCTCAACTCCAACTCATTGTTAAGATGCTGTGTAATAATGGAACTGTATCTGACGTACAACACTTTACTAAATTTCTAAATGATTATATTAAACCAGGTAACATTTATACATGCACATGTAAATGTTACTGGTATACATGTACTATAGTGCAGGGTCTTGGGCCAAATTTTAATCAAAGAGTATGAGAAAGTGCATAATTTTTTTCTGATATATATATTAATCTTATGTAGAAAGTTCGAATTGATATTGATTAAATTTTTACAAATTTTTGAGATTGCTCAATAATGGGATCACAGTTTCTAATCCTAGTACAGGTTGTTTACCAAAAGTAAAAAGGAGAATTCTCCATTTTTATAATTTCCCTGTTACATATACATGTTTTCATGTTGCGTAGAAAGTTTGAGCTGATTCCAATCAAATCTAAATTTTTTATAAATTTTTAAAGTTGCCCCAAAATCAGGCCAAAGTACCTGCATGGTCTTTGGCCAAATTTGACCAAAAATGAAAAGAAGAGAATTTTCTATTTTTATAATTCTTTCTGCTGCATGTCATGTACTGTACTTATGTTGATGTACATGATCTTTGCCTGTGTTTGTTCTTTTCAGACTCACTCAATGTACGTCAGTTGCTTCACACAGTTCGTCTCCATTTCAATGAGGGAAGGAAGAGTGATCCAGCACTGGTGTCAACCCTGATGAACGGATTGTCTGTGTTGTGTACAACTCAATATCATGAAGAATTCCACGCTGCTACAGTTAGGCATATTGTACAAAAGATTGTACTTCACAAGAACATTTTTCGTAAAAACTATTTGAAAACTTTTTTGAATTTTGTAAGATATAAAGGAAATTTACTGCTGTTTTATGAAAATTTGTTTTATTTTTTCATAGGATGACGAGATTATTGATGATAAGACATTGCATGAAGTTATGAAAAAGTGCGGTGGTTTCATAAAGTTTGAAAATGTACTGAGATCATTGTGTGTGTGTGTCCATTCAGCTGCCTCTCTCTCTCTCCATTAGGTTATTGGATGTCTCAAGTCTCATGATAGTATACCAGAATGTGTTCAATACGAGATAATTAATAAAGTATTAATTAATCTATTGTTGCTATAGTAACATCAATTATTAGCTTGGTCATAATGGGAGGTACCCCTCACTGGTCTTGTCTTCCTTCAAAGCAATGAGGGTAAGTTTATGATTGTGCGTGGGCGTGTTTATTAATGGATTAGAGAAATGGTTGCAGTGTCAGCAGTTCTGTGTACGATGATGTTATATTCACACTAGTCAGAATAGGAGTTAGTTCATTATTAGTATACAAAGGAGACTTGTTACACACTGTATTGTGTAGGCTGTCTCACAGGCACTGATACTCTATGATAAGATGAGACTGAGGATGGCAGATCCTTTGTCAGTTGGTACTTACACTCGCTTCATTGAGCTACTCTTGTCTGTATCTCGTCACTCGACTGCTGAGAGTCTAAAGAGGTGTGGCCTTCACTGATTAATGATTGTTTTATTTTACACTACTTATAGTGAGATGGAGACGAACAATGTTCCACTTAACATTCACTTGGTCAATAATTTCATTAAACTCTATGGGATGAAGGGAGACGTAGCAAGTGAGTCTCATCATTCATTCATTATTAGTAACTGATGACCATTAGAGGCTCAGGAACAGTTTAAGATGTTAGAGACACTAAAGCTGAAGCCAACAGTAAGGACATATTACCAGTTGATGGAGGGATACTGTTACCATGGAGATGTTGCAGCTGTGAAGTCACTCCTTGAAGAGGCAAAGGGAACTATCGGAATAGACAAGTATTTAATAATCATTATTGATTACATTTTATTGTGTATTAGCACACTGTTAGGGCAGGTTCTGAAGTCTTTCATTGTTTCAGCCGATTATGATGGAGCCGTCCTTTATCTCTCAGAGTCCTTCAGTCCTGACTGCCATGTCCAGATGCGTCCTTGTCTGCTGCTAATTGATAAATGTGAAGCTGCTAAGAGAAGAGACCTCACTCTAAAAATACTGTCATACTTATCCTTCATTGGGTGTAATCAGTCTGGCATTGACTTTACATTCATGCTTGCACTATTAATGTAAGTCCATCTGATACTCAGCAAACCTTCATTGCTCTATAGGACTGGTCAGTATGATGAAGCTGTTGAGTTTGTAACTGGCAAAGAAGAGTCCACCTTAAGACTAGCAACTTTGAACCATTACACTGGGGGACTGTCTACTGAAGGAAAGGTATTGTTGTTGTTATTATTATTATTGTTGTTGTTGTTATTATTATAACCTAAGACATAGAAGTAAGAGCAAAACTAAACACAAACAAAAACTAAAGACCTACAGTACATGTAAGACCAAAAACAAAACCGAATGCAAATAAACAAAACAGGAAAGAAAAGGGAGAAAAAGAGCTAACCAAAACAAGAAAGAGAAAGAAAAGGAAAGAGAGAGGAGAAAAAGTCAAAGAACCCCATCTACAGGAGGGGGTGAAGAGGGGGCCATTATTATTGTTATTATTATTATTATTATTATTATTATTGTTATTAGGTAGCTCATATCAAAGCTGTTATAAAACTAGCTCGTGAATTGAAAATGGATACGACCCTAATGAATAAATTACTGATTCAAGCACTAGGTATTCCTTGTACTGTTACTGTATTGTACTGTACTGTACTGTATTGTACTGTACTGTACTGTACTGTACTGTATTGTACTGTATTGTATTATACTGTACTGTATTGTACTGTATTGTATTGTATTGTACTGTATTGTACTGTATTGTACTGTACTGTACTGTATTGTATTGTACTGTACTGTTACTGTACTGTATTGTATTGTATTGTACTGTTACTGTACTGTATTGTACTGTATTGTACTGTACTGTACTGTACTGTACTGTACTGTACTGTATTGTACTGTTACTGTACTGTACTGTACTGTACTGTACTGTACTGTACTGTTACTGTACTGTACTGTACTGTACTGTACTGTACTGTACTGTACTGTATTGTATTGTACCGTTACTGTACTGTACTGTACTGTACTGTACTGTACTGTACTGTACTGTTACTGTACTGTACTGTACTGTACTGTACTGTACTGTACTGTACTGTATTGTATTGTACCGTTACTGTACTGTACTGTACTGTACTGTACTGTATTGTACTGTACTGTACTGTACTGTACTGTACTGTACTGTACTGTACTGTACTGTACTGTACTGTACTGTACTGTACTGTACTGTACTGTACTGTACTGTACTGTACTGTACTGTACTGTACTGTACTGTACTGTTACTGTACTGTACTGTTACTGTACTGTTACTGTACTGTACTGTACTGTACTGTACTGTACTGTACTGTACTGTACTGTTACTGTACTGTATTGTACTGTACTGTACTGTACTGTACTGTACTGTACTGTACTGTACTGTATTGTATTGTACCGTTACTGTACTGTACTGTATTGTACTGTTACTCTATTGTACTGTTACTGTATGGTATGTGTAAATTATGTAATGGAATGAATAATGTGGTTTCCGTGTGTATCTGTAGCTTCAAAGAGAGACATTCTTGGTATCCTCCAAGTGAATGAAGAACTTGAATCTGCAGGAATAAAACCACACGTTTCATTTTATAAGTTAAAGGATGAACTAATACGACAATATGAAAGGGAGAAGAAACTGGAAGAAGTACTTCAGTCTTCAAAATATTAGGAATAAACATCGTCAGTGATACAGTCCATGAACTGTCTCTAGTGTTAGTATAATTGTTAATATATTTAAATTATAAGAATACCGTGCAACCATTTTAATGTAGTGATCTGTGTTGGTAAGTTTTAGACTAAATTCTCTTACTCTGGCAATTATTGACAAAAATGTTATCTAACTGTACCTATACTTTATACAGTACACCATCTTTTGTAGCCATTGGATAATGGACTATCCTGTCCTTAATTAGGGGCTTTTTATAAAAATTAAAAATAATTTACTAAATAAAACAAAATTCAATTGAATAAAACATACAAAATAAAAAGTGAAAGCACACAGGTTACTAATAATACTATCCAACAAGAGAACAACAATGATAATAACAACAACATAAAAGTATTGTTTATTATGTATGAAAGGACAATTAATATCAATAATATTAATAAATTTATTAATAATCCGTCCAATCGAATTATTTGAAATTTGAACCACTTTCTGGCGCAAAAGTAAAATCCTGAAAATGAACGTTTTCACCAACACCTGCTTGAGGGTCATCTGAATATTATAAATAAAATAAATTGAAAATAATTCGGTATTTTACCAGCATCAGGTGGAGTGAGTTTTGGTTCTTCCTTAGTAAAGTCTTCATCGAAATACTGAGTGTCTACTTCGTTAGTGATTGTCGGCTTGAAAGGAACTGACACCTACAAACATAATAATAATAATAATAATTACGTAAAATTAGAAAAGGTGTCCTCGGTATAAGAGTATTACCTTTCTCTGGAAAAGGTCATCCCAGTTGATGCTACCAAAGAATGGATGCTTCTTGATGCTCTCAGCTCCGTCAGGACCACCTCCTAATCTGTGAGTAACAATGAGTAAGACCCTAACAATTAACAGATAATTAATGAACCTTTTCTCAGGTAGTTTAGTGAGTAATCCACCCAACAGACTCTTGGCTAAGTGGGAGAGTCTAGCAGGAAATTTAACCTCTTCCTATCCAATAATTAATTAATTCATAATAAATTAATAATAATTCAATCACTTACGACTAAAATAAGTTCAAACAGTACTTCATGATCACGTGAATAAAATGGTAGACGCCCACACATCATTTCATACATTACAACACCTAATCCCCACCAATCCACTGCACGTCCATAATCATTATCTTCTAATACCTACACTATATAATGGAGGGTCAGTCTTTATCAGACCAGTACCTCTGGAGCAAGATATTCCGGTGTTCCACAGAAAGTTCTAGTTGTTGCTCCATAAGATATCTCTTCTTTGCATAATCCAAAATCTGTCAATTTGATATGACCATCTCTATCCAACAGCAAATTCTCCAACTAACAACAACAACAATAAACAACAACAATCAATATGTACAATAATAATAATATAAACATGAGACCGCTGCATTCTCTCCTTTTCAGTTTTGATGAAATTTTGACAAATCCCTGTACTATAATAGTACAGGGATTGGTTTGGACACTACTTTAGACTTAAACTTTCCCCTAACAATAAGTATAATTATTAATATATTATAATTATTAATATATTATAATTATTAATATATTATAATTATTAATATATTATTAGCGGTAGTAATTCCTGTTGGCATAACTACATGTACATCATAACTACACACACAACATTTAAATAAACACACACACACACACACAGACAGGACATTAACAGGACATTTCTAATTAAAAGCACCTTCAGGTCTCTGTACACCACACCTAAACTGTGTAGGTACTCTATGGCCAGCGTTATCTCAGAGCCATAGAACCGAGTTCTATCCTCAGTGAAAACCCTCTCACGCGATAAATGAAAGAAGAGTTCTCCACCATTAACATACTCCATTACAAAGCAAAGCCTGTCTGCTGTCTGGAATGAATACTTGAGTTGCTGCAATGACCCAATGAAATACACACATACACTGTGCATTAATGTATCTTACAGTGAGGAAAGGATGTTTGGTTGATTGTAATACTCTGTTCTCAGTTAAAGTATGCGTTATTTCATCCTTGGCAACAATCACATCTTTCTTAAGTATCTTCATAGCAAATATTTCATCAGTTGATTTCTCTCTACAGAGAACAACTTTACCAAAAGTACCTTTTCCGAGTACCTTCAACATTTCAAAGTCCTCCATTGTCTGTAGGTATATGAATGACATGATGACATTGATTGGTAAATTGGTAATAATACTTTAACTAATTGTAAATTAATACTGTCACTACAAATTCTAAGAATAGTACGAGTAATTTAAACTGAAGGTTATCTTGAGTATGTACGTGTATAAGGTACACGTGAAGGTGGTTACCTTTTGAGTTGCTTTTACTGATTCAGAAGGTGATTTAGGTGATGTATTTGCATCTTCAGTATTTTGTACACGGGAGTCTTCCTTCCTCTGAGCGTCCTTCAAAGTCTTTACCACCTGGTCAATGGCACTCATCCATTCTGTCCTGGAGTATATGAAAAGTGAAAACATTAAAAGAGAGAGAGAGAGAGAGGGAGGGAGGGGAGATCACATGTAATGTCACTGGTAAACAAAGGCCTTGTTATTTATACATAAAAACACCAAAAGCACCTGCACAATTGACAAGAGTATAATAATCCTTAAAATATACCTCTCTACATAGTCACATACAGTAAGTATGCTAAAACTATAATTAATGACGTGTTACTACTACCTTTCTGCTTCAGTTTCTGTACAGAGATTCCTCTCTACAAAAGTTGTAAATTGAAGGCACCTACAAAGAGTCGCAATGAAATGGCATATTTCACTGAATAGACTATCCTAACAATACTACTACTCCTCATAGTGACAGAATAACTGTACACAATAGCTGTAAGTGTACACAATTAATTGCATAAACACAAACAATAATATTGTATAAATACAAACAAGATTTGCTTATTGTTGTCTTCATAGTTGTTTGTGAAAAGGTAGCATCATTTATGATAAATATGTATAAAAAAGGATAACATGATTATACATACCTCACACTGAAAGCATTCTTCTTAATCTTGTCCTGTTTGAGTTGCTGCACGTTAGCTAGAACAAGATGGTACCAGTAAAGGGAGTGGCTGTCTTACCATTTATTCTAAAGTTGTTTAGTGGATCCTGCAGTGCTAGATCAGCAGCCGCTGGCTTAGCCTTGAAACCAACAAAGCTCCCATCAGAATAGAGTATAAACCAGCGGGGCCGCCAGTTCTTAATGTATTCTCCTGTTCAGAGAAGAAAGTATATATCACCTACTGTATGAAGATGAGAGGACTTACCTCTCTTCTGGAGCCACCCCTCTTTCACTATAAGTCTATCGCCACTCTCTTTGGGAGGGGCACCTTTCTCTGCCATTACCCTCTCCTCTCTCTAGCTCTCGGTTCACTTCAAGGACAGCAAAACACTTCCAATCTCTCACTGACTATCTCACTGCCACTGGAGCGGAGGATGCCGGAGGAAGTTTGTGCATCCACAAAAGTGATACACTTTCTGAGCATGCGCAGAATAAATGGGAGTGGCCGTTTAAATCAAAGTGTTCAAAAATACCCAAACAATTCAAACTTTGAAAAATGAATTGTGCATGAACACACTAAAATTAAACATTGTAAAACATTAAAAAGGCAAGAAATGAGACAGCAAAGATTATTTATTGCAAGTTTGATCCAGCCTCAGGGACAAAGCTAAAGTCCTGAAAGTGTAAATTCCCAACACCAGCATCTGGATCATCTATACAGACAAACTTATTAATTTATTAATTTATTTATGGCTTAAACAAAATGCTTAAATGCATAAAAAAGAGAGAGGAGTTGCACTAACCAGCATCGGGTGGTGTTAGTTTTGGTTCTTCTCCAGTGAATTCAGGAGCAAAGTATTTAGTATCAATCTCACTTTTGATATTTGGGACAAATGATGGAGTTATCTAAATGCACATTTAGACATGGAGAACAGTACAACATTCAATCACTTTTTTGTTGTAGAGGTCATCCCAATTGATGACGGAAAAGAAAGGATGAGCCTTCACTTCTTCAACTCCATCAGGACCGCCCCCCAGCCTAAAGAGAGAACCAGGATGGAGCTGAATCAATCATGAGAAAGACCATACCTTCTCTCCGGAGCTTTAGTTAACAAACGATCCAATAGGTCCTTAGCAAGAGTTGATAGTCGGGACGGGAACTTTACTTCTTCCTAAAAGTACACAAGAATTAGCAAAATAACACTTATTAATGATTAATTCAATCACTTACGACTAAAATAAGTTCAAACAGTACTTCATGATCACGTGAATAAAATGGTAGACGCCCACACATCATTTCATACATTACAACACCTAATCCCCACCAATCCACTGCACGTCCATAATCATTATCTTCTAATACCTACACTATATAATGGAGGGTCAGTCTCTATCAGACCAGTACCTCTGGAGCAAGATATTCCGGTGTTCCACAGAAAGTTCTAGTTGTTGCTCCATAAGATATCTCTTCTTTGCATAATCCAAAATCCGTCAATTTGATATGACCATCTCTATCCAACAGCAAATTCTCCAACTAACAACAACAACAATAAACAACAACAACAATCAATATGTACAATAATAATAATATAAACATGAGACCGCTACATGTACATATGTATCAAATACAATTATAAAATGGAGAATTCTTTTCTTTACATTTTTGGCAAAATTTGGCCACAGACCAAAAGGCTATAGCCTGACTTTAAAAATTCTTAAAAATCTAAATTTGATCTTGTAGTAAGCTCAACTTCTAAACAACACAAGTATATACGTGTGGGTACGTATGTAATGGTTCTTCTCATCTTGTCATATCAATGCATATCTTTTGTATACCTTCAGGTCTCTATAAACAACACCAAGACTGTGCAAGTAACCAATGGCCAGCGTTATCTCTGCTCCATAGAAACGAGTTCTTTCCTCAGTGAGCATCTTCTCAACTGATAAATGAAAGAAGAGTTCTCCACCATTAACATACTCCATTACAAAGCAAAGCCTGTCTGCTGTCTGGAATGAATACTTGAGTTGCTGCAATGACCCAATGAAATACACACATACACTGTGCATTAATGTATCTTACAGTGAGGAAAGGATGTTTGGTTGATTGTAATACTCTGTTCTCAGTTAAAGTATGCGTTATTTCATCCTTGGCAACAATCACATCTTTCTTAAGTATCTTCATAGCAAATATTTCATCAGTTGATTTCTCTCTACAGAGAACAACTTTACCAAAAGTACCTTTACCTAGTACCTTCAACATTTCAAAGTCCTCCATTGTCTGTAGGTATGAATACTCACAATCATGTCAACGTCAATTGTTCTGTACTTTAAGTGAGGGTTTTTGGTGAGTTTTTGAAGCAAAGGCTAAGGCTTCAGCTGTTTTTGGTGACAGATGGTCAAACTCTTCAACTTGTGCTTTCTTGAGATAACTAATTACTTTCTTAATAGCAGATATCCACTCGACTCTATTAATAAAAGATAACTGTAAAGTCCCTCCACAAAGGGTTACAAAGTGAGGCTGTTCGTGTGTATGTACATGATGTTTGATTTCTTATGTCGGTTACAGATACACGAAATCATAAACAACAACCTGCTCCAGCTGTCTCCCTCATCTAATTACTAACAAACACACTCCAATACAGTACTGACATTGTTACAGTGTTTGCTCTTACCGCTCAGTCTCAGTGTCAGTGGCAAGGTTCCTTTCAATGAGTGTAGTTATTTGTAGACACCTAAAGTATGTACTCCATAATTACACACTCTCCATGTATCTACCCACCCACACATACCAATGGTAAAGGGAATGCTGGAGGTCATGTATTATTAATTGTGAGTAATCACTAATCTAGGTATGCACCATTTTAGGATGTGCCCATTAGCTACTTGAATTCACAAGTGGAATGAACATCATGCAAGTATACATTAAGATAGTGTTATTATATATACCTCACTATAAATCCAAACTTTTTACTTTTGTCTGTTGCTATTATAACATGAGCATCAGCTGCAATAAACAACAACAATAAACAACAACTATAAACAGCAACAATAAGCAACATGTAATCCTAACCGTCTATCCTAAAGTTGTTGAGTGGATCTTGGTCACTTTTAAATTTATCTTCTGGTTTGTTTTTGAATCCTCTAAAGCTGCCATCAGAATACAGAATGAACCATCTTGGTCGCCAGTTCTTAATGTATTCTCCTACTTAATGATAGAAACTAACCAATGGACACTGTGGTATACCTCTCTTTTGCAGCCAGCCTTCCTTTACTACAGTGACTTCTCTCCCTGCCATTAGTAGCTATGCTCCTTCAGTCGAGACTGGATTCTGCGAGTTCTGCTCTTTTTTATAGGCAGGAAATAAGGATCGGTGGGTGTGGCACCAACTGGGAGGAGTCTCCAGGCCGGATCGATATCGCTAGTAGAGTAAATTTATTTTACTCTAATAATCTATGGGTAAATGGAGAGAGGACTGTCAGCCTCCGAGTGTCCTGTTTGTTATAACTCCTTGGGAGTAAAGAGAGTACCTTATTCTCTGTCTTGTGGGCATACGCTGTGTGGTCTGTGTATCAAGGAACTGGGTAGAGGGGTTGAGTCCTTCCCGTGTCCTCTATGCAGGGAGCTCTCTCGAGTGGAGAGTGTAAAGGTATCTATCGTTCATTAACGTACACTATTGATCCTTAATCTAGAGGAATGTCACTTTATTGCAACTAATATCACAACTGTCTCATGGTATTGGCCCTGTCTCTCAGTCTCTCTCAACTCCTTTTGATTCCATTGAGTTGGGACGTCTTCTTGATCGGGGAGCCAGTGGGGAGGTATATAGAGGTACCTGGCAGGGAAATGATGTAGCTATAAAGGTAAGTGAACCTTCTTGCAATCAAACTGGACCTGGTCTTGTATTGCAGGTGTTCTCATCAGGCCAGTTATCATCTGAGGCTCATGATTCCTTCAAGCGAGAGGTGTGTATCATGAATACTCTGAGACACCCAAATGTTGTATTGCTACTGGCAGCCTCCCCCTCTCCTCCTAAACTAGCGATTGTCATGGAGTATGTGGGGGGCGGGTCACTCTACTCCCACCTCCATATTGACAAGACGATATTCTCAGTTGACGTCATTGCTCAATTATTAGCCGACATTACAAGAGGCCTACAGTACCTTCATTCCATCAATATACTACACCGAGACCTCAAGAGTAAGAACGTCCTCCTCACTAACCCTCCTCCATTGTGTAAAGCTAAACTCTGTGACTTTGGACTAGCTAGAATGAGACTGGAGAGTGCAACCATGACAGGTAGGCTGTTATAAGTGGGTGGAATTGATTGCATTCTTTACATATCCTACAATTCAAACTACATGTACTTATAAGGAATGATATGATTGACTACAAACCACACCCACTCTTTAATAAACCACGCCCATTAATCAATAGGTAATGTGGGTACTGTACATTGGACGGCTCCTGAAGTACTCAATTGTGGTCGGTATCATTTCTCAGCTGATGTGTACAGTTTTGGGATGGTGTTGTATGAAATGGTGACTCGCTCCATTCCATTCTCTCACCTCCCGCCTCCAGCTGTCATTGTGGCGGTACTCATCAGAAGAGAAAGACCTTCTCTTAGCAGCGACTGCCATCAAACGTTCAGGACTCTCTTTGAAAAGTATGTACATGTACACGTATTTTAAACATGTCCATTTCTGTGAGTGCAGGTGCACCTCCTGGGACCCAGTGGACAGACCTTCTCTCTTGTCAATATTACGTGACCTGATGCTCCTCCTTCCCTCCCTCTCTCTCCCTGGGACCTCGGGACCAGAAGATGAGACAGTGTTTGATCATACGGACAGTTTAGGACACGTGATGATTGACTTTGATGAAAATGATGAACAAGATGAAGAATTAATGAAGTTCTTACAAGTAAAGGAACCTGTTTACTTTATAATCAATTCTAACATTGTACAGGAGCAAATGGAGTCGTCAGTTGATGGTGATTCTACATTAGAAGTATCCTCAAATAATGTTGAAAATGTATTTGAAGATATGCGGTAAACCTTGTCTTTATTAATTATTATTATTATTAATTATTAGAGGGGTCTTGTCACAGCACGAGTTAAAAGAGTATCATTCTTATACTGAGGAAGAACTAGTGTCATCCGTTTCATCTGTTTCATCTTACAGGGTACCTCACTTAGTCCCGGCTAATAGTCTAAGAGGAAGTGCCGAGGAGGTGGCGAGAGTTCCCAGCCCACCTGAGGCCCAAGAAGGTTCTTTAAGAGATGACATTTATGACACGGAGTCTAGTGATCGCCAGTTGGCTGAGAGGATACAGAGGGAGGAAAGAAAGTCTATACTAGCTCAAGACTACAGGCTAGCGTCAGAGCTACAGTCAAGAGAAAGGTTCTCTTCGAATTATCAAAGACCTCCTCCTCCTCCTCCCACTCCTCCTTATCTTCCTTTGAAGACACTCCCCACCAAAGACAGGAAGAGATTCGTACTGTCAGAGGTGAGGAGGAAAGGACACAAAGCAGACTTGAAGCATGTGCAACCAGTGGAGAAGAGAGCATTCAAAGTTGGTAAGTAACATCATTATTATTATTATTATTGTGTATTGTATTGTATTTATTTTGTTTGCTTGCCGTTAGGTAGAGTGATTGAAAGTGAAAGTCCTAATGTTGATGAAGGGCCTAAGACTGTTTGGACTTTACAAAAAGAAATTGCTTCATTTTCAACATCATGGCTGAACAAAATAAAGTTTAGGGAACCAAAACCAACAGTTCCTGTGGGAAGTATGTCTACTCATAAACTAATTTCTAATTAAAATGTATCAATTTTGAAGTTGCTTCAAAATCAGACCAAAGTCTCTGTACAAGGACTTTGGCCAAATTTCACCAAAAATGGAAAGGAAGGAATTGTTCCTTTTTATAATTTTTTCTGATGCATATACATGTTCTTATGTTGCATAGAAAGTTTGAGCTTATTCAGATCAAAATTAATCTTGATTTTTTACAAATTTTAAAAGTTGTACTATAGTACAGTGATGTTGGCCAAATTTTAGGAAAAATGAAATATAGCGATTTCTCCATTTTTATAATGTTTTGTGATACATATGCACATCAATATGTATTTTAAAGTTATTATTAATATTATTATTAATTATTAATATTATTATTAATATTGTAGGAGTGGTTACTAATGTTCGTAAGATGGTCAATAGAATTAATTCTAAAGTTTTTGATGAAATTGAATCATTTTCTACTGATGCACTGACTCATGTTGTGCCTAAAGTTAAGACAATCTTACCAACTAAAGAAGGTAATAAATTGATATCAATATTAATTATTATTAATTAATTAATTAATTATTAGACATACAAGCTGAGAAGTTATCGTCTCCTGTGGCCCCACCCCCTCCAGCTCCGCCTCCTCCTGATAATATTCCAATGAAGTCTAAAGCTCCGAAACAGGTCATTAAAACACGAGTGATTGGTCCAGCTGCTAGTAATAAAACTAAAATGAAATCTCCAACAAAGAAATCGATCGTACCACCAATGCCAAGCCAAGAGACAACTTCCATAAAAGGAAGTACGAAATACAGTAAAGGTCCCCATATGAAGTTACCAGCTGTCAAACAGTACTACCACAGTGAAGGGTCTGCAGCTGCCAAGTCAATAGTACAGGCAGTTACTAAGGGGAGGAATGATGAAGATGATGACAGTGATGAGGACACTCTTTTCTTTGATGCCTCCAAGAGTTGGAATCAGTTTAGTAAAAGTAAAGTAGCCACAGGAAGAGGAGGAGATCCATTGTTTGATACTGGAGACAGGATAGAGGGAAAGACAGAGGGTGTTAGTAAAATAGAATTAGAGAGAACCAAAAATAGAAAGAAAAGAGTATTTTTTAAAAAGAATAAGTGATTTTATTTTAATAGCAGTAGAATGTCAACTATTATTGTTATTACAACAATTATTATTATTATTATTATTATTATTATTATTATTATTATCATTATTATTATTATTTATCATTTTTAAACATTTCTTTCTCCCTCAGAGTAGCTACTAGTATTTCAATGTCCTTTCCTGTAGTTTCTGCTCCTACTTCAAATTCTCTTTCTTCAATGACAGTAGAGCTACCAGTCTTTATCTTTGTACACTCATCAATGTATGCTAGGGACTATATGAAGAGATTATTGTATATACAGTGTATCCTCTTTATTAAGGACACCATTGGGCCCACACTACCTGTCCTTAATACATGTACAGTGTAGCCTCTTTATTAAGGACACCATTGGGCCCACACTACCTGTCCTTAATACATGTACAGTGTATCCTCTTTATTAAGGACACCATTGGGCCCACACTACCAGTCCTTAATACATGTACAGTGTAGCCTCTTTATTAAGGACACCATTGGGCCCACACTACCTGTCCTTAATACATGTACAGTGTAGCCTCTTTATTAAGGACACTATTGGGCCCACACTACCTGTAGAAGTGTCCTCATTTCGTACCAATTGTGACATTACAAAGTGTCCTCATTATAGAAGTGCTCCATTATAAAGGAGTCCCTATTATAAAGGCTACACTGTATATACCTGTGGATATTCCTTCATGATTACATGGAGGAGTGATAGTGTGAAACAAGCTTTATATGCAAAAGAAGGCGACTGAATCTCTTGGAGTGACAGTACAGTCTGTAGCTGTTGTCTGGCTTCAACTCTCTCAGCCACATCTGAAAGAAAAAAGGAAAATGTTATACCGGCCACCTTTTAAGTACATGTACCTGTAGGTGAGAATTGTCACTCACTTTAGAAATATTATTTCGACCAAAAACCACAATTTTTGTTACATTTTCTGATGCATATTGATGTCCTTATGCTATGTAGAAAGTTTGAGCAGATTCTGAGCTCAAATTTTCGAGTTACAGCAATTTAAAAAACAAGCCAATTTCTGAAAATTTCCACCCATGGTTTTTTCCAAAAAATGGCTCCGAAATCACCCCAAATTTTTATTACATTTTCTGATACATATTGATGTCCTAATGCTATGTATAAAGTTTGAGCTGATTCCGAGCTCAAATTTTTGAGTTACGGCCATTTAAAAAAACGAACCAATTTTGGAAAATTTCCCTGTACTATAGCCAATGGTTTTTTCCAAAAAATGGCTCCAAAATTACCCCAAATTTTTATTACATTTTCTAATACATATTGATGTCCTTATGCTGTCTAGAAAGTTTGAGCCGATTCCGAGCTCAAATTTTCAAGTTATGGTCATTTAAAAAACGAGCCAATTTCTGAAAATTTCCCTGTACTATAGCCCATAGTTTGTTCCAAAAAATGGCTCAGAAATCACCCCAAATTTTTATTACATTTTCTGATACATATTGATGTACTTATGCTGTCTAGAAAGTTTGAGCCGATTCCGAGCTCAAATTTTCAAGTTATGGCCATTTAAAAAAACGAGCCAATTTCTGAAAATTTCCCTATACTATAGCCCATGGTTTTTCCAAAAAATGGCTCCAAAATCACCTCAAATTTTTATTACATTTTCTGATACATATTGTTGTACTTATGCTGTCTAGAAAGTTTGAGCCGATTCTGAACTCAAATTTTCAAGTTATGGCCATTAAAAAAACGAGCCAATTTCTGAAAATTTCCCTGTACTATAGCCCATGGTTTTTTCCAAAAAATGGCTCAGAAATCACCCCAAATTTTTATTACATTTTCTGATACATATTGATGTACTTATGCTATGTAGAAAGTTTGAGCCGATTCCGAGCTCAAATTTTCAAGTTATGGCCATTTAAAAAAACGAGCCAATTTCTGAAAATTTCCCTGTACTATAGCCCATGGTTTTTTCCAAAAAATGGCTCCGAAATCACCCCAAATTTTTATTACATTTTCTGATACATATTGATGTACTTATGCTATGTAGAAAGTTTGAGCCGATTCCGAGCTCAAATTTTCAAGTTATGGCCATTTAAAAAAACGAGCCAATTTCTGAAAATTTCCCTGTACTATAGCCCATGGTTTTTTTCAAAAAATGGCTCCAAAATCACCCCAAATTTTTATTACATTTTCTGATACATATTGATGTACTTATGCTGTGTAGAAAGTTTGAGCTGATTCTGACTTCAATTATTCAAGTTACGATGTACATGTATCTTCTATTGGGTGTGGTTCAGTACATGTATCTTCTATTGGGTGTGGTTCAGTACATGTATCTTCTATTGGGTTTGGTTCTTACTCATCGTATCAATGCTGTCCAGTGGATCTTTTGTTCCTGGCAGTGCAAAAGTTGATGGAGGAGTCTGCAAAGCTTTAATCATTTCTTGTATAATACCATCTAAATGTATCAGCCATATTTTAATGACCTATACAACAGTATAAAGGTAAAACATTCATGTACATGTACTTATCCACCTCATTAAAGAAGGATTGAGCTACCACTGGCTTGTCTTCCTTTAAGAATATATTCCCCAGCTGGAACAAACCGCCTACAGTTTTTATTGACTGAGTACCATAAGCTATACTTGACTGATATATCTATCAAGAGGATGCATTACTTCATTAATAATTATACACAAATTACATCTTCAGCAAAGTGCTTCTTGGCCATTAGGTACTCTTCTCTAGCTGCTGCCAGGAGTCCTAAGTTACGATGAAGCTGTGAGTGGAGAGAGGCTGAGGTCTGACTGTTCTGTAGTACGGTCCAGTGTGCCTGACTCAAGAACTTCTCTGCATTACGTAACTGATCTTGTCCTACAAACAAGATCAGCTATTGATCAAGTGTGAATAAGGCACTGTCACATAATGATTGTGCATGTGCTAATGGGAGCAGCATCACTGTACAGTAACTAATGACATTTGACTTGAGGTAAGAGTCTATGTCAAGATGTTAGGTGACAATAACTCAATGGTGCTACCTAGAGATGATTGTGCCAGCAGTAGCAGGGCAGGAGTTAGTTCCAAGTGAGCTGGTCCATGAGTGTCTGTCAGTAACTTCAGTGCAAGTAAAGATGGAGGGAAGGCCAAGGTATAGTCTTCATTGTGGAGGTGTTTCCTTGCTTCTGTCAGTGCCATTTCTGTTATGCGGTCCTAGTAAAAATGTTTATTATTATTATTATTATTATTATTATTATTGTTGTTGTTGTTCTTATTATTATTATTGTTGTTATTATTATTGTTGTTGTTCTTACTCTTGTTTGTTGTTGGTGTTTTTTTCTTTGTTTTCTCTCGGTGTCAGAGTTGGCATGAGTCTCTGGTGGTTTAAGTGAAGCTATTAAACTGCAAACTTGAGAATGAATGCTCCTCCAGTCAGCCAACTGGTCATCTACACTGCTACACGGGATATGAAATTAATGACAACTACATATATATACTCCATGAATTGATGTTGTATCTAACCAGTAGTAGGTTGATCTACAGCTAGGGCACTGTATCCTGGCTGGTTTTTGACAGAGGTGACAAGAGAGTTTGATTCCTTTTGGATTAGCCAAAGGATTTACCTCAAAACCATCCTCCATCTCTTCACTAGCACCAGCCATTATTGTATAATTGTACTGTATCCTAGCAACCAATTTAATTTAGTACCACCCTATGACGTCATAGCCACACCCGTATTGTTGCTATAATTATTGGAGGAGTGGCTGCCCACAAGTAAATACTGCAGTTATTGCAGTACAGGGTGAGTTTGGTGTCGTTTGGTCTCGCATTTGGTGCCGGAGGAGACTCTAGCTGGTGACTATGGCTATGGACAGGTCCTCAATGTCTCTTTTAGAGTATCTTCCTTTTACTGGCCCGCTGGAGAAAGCCTTCAATGCCAGAGGATCTATTCGCTGGCTACATGATAACTTTTATCTCACTTTTGTAACCAGTGGACTCTACGTTGCATTCGTTTTTCTTGGCACTCTAGCAATGAAGGAGAGAGCCCCGTTCCGTCTGGAGAGGTTGCTGTTTATGTGGAACGTTGGGCTGGCAGCATTCTCCATCATGGGCTCATTCTCAATAGTCCCCCTACTCCTGTACACTGTCTATGAGAAAGGGTTCCCCTACACCACCTGTATATCACCCGGGCTCTTCAACCCTCACATTACACTCTGGGCTGTGTTATTTGTACTCTCAAAGATATTTGAGTTTGGCGACACCGTGTTTATTGTTTTACGAAAGAAGAAGCTAATGTTCCTCCATTGGTACCATCACGTGACTGTACTGATGTTCTCGTGGTATTGCTTGGGTAACCTGGTCACTGGGGCCGGCCACTGGTTCGCTGGTGTTAATCTTATTGTCCATTCTGTCATGTACACATATTACGCTATAGTGTCTTATGGTATCAGGGTCCCATCAAGGGTAGCACTCTGGATCACGATATTCCAACTGACCCAGATGTTTATTGGTATCCTCATTAATGTGGTTGGGTTCTTGTATCGGAATGAGTTTATAGACTGCCAGTTTGACTGGTCTGTCTTCAAGGCTAGCATTGCCATGTATGCGTCTTATGCTCTTCTGTTTGGCTGGTACTTCTTTGATCGATACGTCATTAAAAAGAGAAAGACTAACTGAATTTATTATAATATTAGTGGTAGATTCCATTTGCTGACATAGGAAATTTATAATTTTAGAGCAATTATGTGAATTAAATTGAATTTATTTGACCTTATCATAGTCAGTATGACCTTTTCTTGGGTGGGTACTGTAGATCTACTGTTTACATAATCAAATGTAATAGCAACCATTCCTCCAGCTCTTCTCCTCATGTCTCCTCCATTGAAGTATCTCTCCACTCCATTAGAGAGGGTCCCTTACCTCAGGGACTTTGAATCAAGGTTTGATTTCTCTGCTGCCAAGTCATGGCTCTACAATAACTGGCTCTGGACTCTCCCATTGTGCCTTCTCTATGTTGCTCTGGTCTTCTCAGGGAAGAAGTGGATGTCTACTCGTCCTCCATACGACCTCAGACGAGTGCTCTTTGCTTGGAACTTGTTCCTCGCCATATTCTCCATTATTGGTTCCACTTGTCTCGTACCTCATTTGTTGGATATCCTACTCAGGTCGGGTCTCACTGAATCAGTCTGCAAGACAGAAGCTCTTTATAATCCACACATCAGTCTATGGTGCTTTGTATTTACTCTGTCTAAAGTACTAGAACTTGGTGACACTGCTTTTGTCATTCTTCGTAAAAGCCCTTTACAGTTCCTCCATTGGTATCATCACTGTACAGTCCTAGTGTATTCATTCTACGGGCTGGGTCGACCAGTCAGTAGTGCTATTGGTATTTGGTTTGGTAGCATGAACTATTCAGTACACGCTGCCATGTATTCTTACTATGCCATTAAAGCATTAGGGTACAGGGTCCCTTCAGCTGTCTCAAGGTGTATTACTATATTCCAGCTGTCACAAATGGTTGTTGCTCTAGTCATTAACTTCACTGCCTTTAGGAGCTATAGCTTTGGAGAAGCTTGTGAAATAGATATCAATGTGTTCTATGCTGGTATGATCATCTATGGATCTTATGCTATTCTCTTTGCCAACTTCTTTTACCAGCGATATATCAAAGCAAGCCCAAAAACAAAAAGAGACTGAACTAAATGTTATTATTTATTTATTTAATTTAATAGGCCACGTTCTTGTTACTTTTGTTGTTAATTTTATCAAAAACAGGAAACACACCATTAGCTGGATAGTGAAATTATTTTTATAATAAAATAAATTATGTTCTTATTTTTGCCAAATTATTATAATACAAGAAATTAAATTATTCCAAACTGACTATTTAGTATCCATTATATCTTCTTCCTATTAATAAATAAGGTGACAGCCAATCTTTAAACATGATTACCTCCTCCTCCTCCTCTTCACTTGATATGATTATGTCACTAGTTCCTTCATTATAATCTTCATCTTCCTCATCTACAGCAGTCAATCATTAATGGAGGGACCATAACTCACTCTCTTACCTTCACCAGCTGTTACTATTGCTCCTGGAGTTGTTAATAGTCTTTCTTCATCATCATTCTCATCATCATCAGCTTTAGACTGTGGACATGTACACAATTAATATAAATATATCCATTAGGACTAGCAATAAACTGTACTACACAGTAACCTGTACACGTGTACATTTCAATAAACATTATACAATCAACTACACGAGACTATAATGTACAAGTACATGAAACACTGAACTGAGCAATGATGGGATATCACCAGACACTTGTGCTTGTGTGCATAATGTGAATCCACTAACTAACTAACTTGTGCTAATAGTAGATCCAGTTTCCCCTCAATTTTAGCCATTTTATTAAACAGTGCTGTCCTGCTCTCCATCGACTGATAGAACACACTCAAACAATCTAAAAGATGTGGCACCTACACACACACACACACACACACACAGACACAGTGTTACTGGATGGACACTGAGAGGTATATGCACTCATTGATGGGAGCCATCATTACAGCTTTAGCTCTCACTTTAGAAACAGCTGCTAGGCTAATCAAGAGTATGGAGGCTCACTGTGAGGAGGTAGGAGGTGTGGTTTAACAGGACTGACCTAACCCACAGAATAACATTAGTCTTAGCCGGATTAACATGTATGGCATCTATCAGCTACAGAATATAAATTAATTAATAAATAAATAATTCCATTACTTACTGCTTTTAGAAAAGGTACAATGGCAGTTATAGATAGCTTCCTAACTGTTGAGTCGATCACTCTCTTTGTGTCTATTCTTATAACCTGCTCCAGTAACTTCTTATCATCATTGTGAACCGCCTGAAGAACAAGCAACGAGAGACTCTCAGCCGATAGTTTGGACCTTAATAACAATAAACAATAACAATAAACAACAACAACATCAATGTGGTGAAACCTTTTATCATTCTCGTCAGACTCCAATAGAGAGAGTGACTGGAGTCTCTGATACATTGGAACCTGTTCCTCTAATCTGTTCCGACCAGTGTCTCCACCAGTGTCCCGTCCAGTGTCCTGTCCAGTGTCCTGTCGTATAGTCCGTGGGGTGGAGAGACTAACTATAGACACGCTTCCTTTACCAGCGGAGCCACTCCCCCCACCAGAGCCAGGAGCAGGTGTGGGTACTAATAATCCTTTAGGGACTGTTCTTATCAATAAAGAATGAGACTCGGATTGTTTAAAAGGCTACAATTAAAATAGCAATGGAGGAGGTCAGACTTTATACCCATCCACTTACCATAGTCTCAAACACTGGCCGAACCACTGAGGTATGAGCTATCACCATATCACCAGGACTGGAAGAAACATGTAGAGCTAACACTGGAATACTAAGAGGAACCTGTGGGGTGACAGGGACAGTGAATAAGAGTGTGGGTACTAATTAGACCAGTGGGAGTTAACAAACCAGTAATGTGGATATAAGACTGTTGATGTACAATAACCACAAGTACATCTATAATAGAGTAACCTATTAGCTTCACCTTTTGCTTTGAGGTGGATTGAGTTACAAATTGAAGGCTGGCAGCTGGTTCCTGAGGACCAGGTACTTTAGTATAAGAATCAATTTCAAATAATTGAACGACCCCATCATCACACACAGACCCTATCTTGAACTGAGAGAGAGAGTGAGCAGACATTTATAAAGTAAGTAACCAATACCTGTCCCTCATCTTCAATACCATGAACTGATAGGACATTACTTTCACAAACCAAAGAGACACTACCACCTGTAGCAATGTTCCTAAACAAATTACAAATAAATAAATAAATAATAATAATAACAACTCACCAAAGACTAATATTCCTTTCATTATCAGCTGCAGATATAAATTGATTTTTGTTGACAAAGAAAAGTGACATAACATTGCTAGCATGACCAGTGAAACGCTGCAATGAAGTAAATTAAATGAAAATTTAAAATGGACGCCATATCTTACTTTAATTAATGCTTGAGTGCTGATATCCCATAGCTTAATGCTCCGCCCAGCAGTTAATAAAGTTCTTTCACCAACACATAGACAAGAAACACCATTTTTATCAGCTTTCCACCTGCAAAATATAATTATAACTCATTAATAATCAAGGAATTGAACAGAGAATGAGCTAATGCATCAGGAAATGTAATAAAATAGAAGAATTCTGACCTTTTCATTTTTTGGCAAAATTTGGCTGAAATCCCTGTACTATAGTACAGTGACTTTTGTCCGATTTTGGAGCAACTTTAAAAAATCATAAAAAATTCAAATTTGATCGGATTTAACTCAAACTTTCCGTGCAACATAAGAAGATGTATATGTACCATGAAAAAATATAAAAGTGAAAAATTCTGATCTTTTCATTTTTGTCAAAATTTGGCCAAAATCCCTGTACTATAGTACAGGGACTTTTGTCCGATTTTGGAGCAACTTTAAAAAATCATAAAAAATTTAAATTTGATCGGATTCAGCTCAAACTTTCCACGCAACATAAGAACATGTATATGTATCAGGAAAAAATATAAAAGTGGGAAATTCTGATCTTTTCATTTTTGGCAAAATTTGGCCAAAATCCCTGTACTATAGTACAGGGACTTTTGTCCGATTTTGGAGCAACTTTAAAAATAATAAAAAATTCAAATTTGATCGGATTCAGCTCAAACTTTCCACGCAACATAAGAACATGTATATGTATCAGGAAAAAATATAAAAGTGGGAAATTCTGATCTTTTCATTTTTGGCAAAATTTGGCCAAAATTAATACAATCCAATTATTGAGCAACTTTAAACCATTATACATACATTATTATTATTATTATTATTATTATTATTACCTTTCCAAAGAGCCTGATCCTACTGTCCATTGGTAGACCAGTTTAGATCCATCAGTAACGTACAATGAATCATTACCACTCCATGATATACTGACCACACCCCCACAACCATCCACTGGCTATTATTAGTAACATTACATCATCACATAGTTCTAAATATAGCTCACCATAGTTGCACATTGTTCATTCTGGTCGATATCCCATATTATCAGACCATCATTCTCAACCCCAATAGCTAGTAATGGTGAACCTCTCTTCTTCTGGTTAGACTGCAAGGAGGAGGAGGACACACACAATGTAAGGTATGGCCTATAATAAACCTGGCCTCGTTGCCCCGCCCCTTCGCTTGAAGGGGCGGGGCAACAAGACGATAATAAACCAGCCATTTTGAACCATGATTCCACCAACCATCCATCCCCCTGATCACTGCTACAGTACATTGTAATGGTAATGTATGGTACCTGGTCCCATCCTTCAGACCAGCCAGTGGACAGTACAGTGGACCAGTGACCAGTTGCTCTACAGACCTGTCTACCAGTAGCCGTGTTCCACACTGATACTTGATTCCCTCCATTAACTACTGATAATAATGAACCATCTCTACAGAATGAGCTATTGGAGGCCATTATCAGTACACGTGGTTAGTGGGTGTGACTAATACCAGTCACGCCCACTGCCAATATGTCACTGTACAGGGTAGGTCTATCCAGAGGAATGTTGAGCTCATTCCAGCGAGTGATGAGAGGGGAAGGACTCCACACGAGCAGTGCAGTACAGTACGAGTATATTAAAGTGGACAAGAGAGGAGAAAAGAGTAAGAGAAATTAATATAAAATTATTATTCTTTTAATTAATGTTCTTGTTATTATATTTAATTTTAATCATTATTAATATATATAATAGAAAATGTTGGCCTGATTCAGTTGAATCGTCTCAAAGCACTGAATGCCCTTTGTGATGGGCTGGTCTCTGAAATAGGAGAAGCACTTCAAGAAATGGAAACTGATACCAGCATTGACGCCATTGTGATCACTGGTATGCTGTTAATAGTACACTGTACAGTATTGCAGTGTGTTATGGTATTGTATACTAGTATGATGGTATAATGGTATTATATGTATTGTATGTCAATGTACAGTGTAATGGTTTTATACAGTACAGTATAATGGTAGTACAGTGTAATGGTAGTATAGTCTAATGGTAGTATAGTGTAATGGTAGTACAGTCTAATGGTAGTATAGTGTAATGGTAGTATAGTATAATGGTAGTACAGTGTAATGGTAGTATAGTGTAATGGTAGTATAGTCTAATGGTAGTACAGTCTAATGGTAGTATAGTCTAATGGTAGTATAGTCTAATGGTAGTACAGTCTAATGGTAGTACAGTCTAATGGTAGTACAGTCTAATGGTAGTATAGTCTAATGGTAGTACAGTCTAATGGTAGTATAGTCTAATGGTAGTATAGTGTAATGGTAGTACAGTCTAATGGTAGTATAGTGTAATGGTAGTATAGTATAATGGTAGTACAGTGTAATGGTAGTATAGTGTAATGGTAGTATAGTATAATGGTAGTACAGTGTAATGGTAGTATAGTGTAATGGTAGTATAGTCTAATGGTAGTACAGTCTAATGGTAGTATAGTCTAATGGTAGTATAGTCTAATGGTAGTACAGTCTAATGGTAGTATAGTCTAATGGTAGTATAGTGTAATGGTAGTATAGTGTAATGGTAGTACAGTCTAATGGTAGTACAGTCTAATGGTTCTCTGATGCTGTAGGTAGTGAAAGAGCTTTTGCTGCTGGAGCTGATATTGCTGAGATGAAGGATAAGTCTTTTCAGGATTGCTATGCTCGAAAGTTCCTATCTCATTGGGACATCATTTCAAAGTGTCCCAAACCAACAATAGCAGCTGTGAATGGATTCGCTTTAGGAGGAGGTTGTGAGGTGGCCATGATGTGTGATATTATATATGCAGGTGAGAGAGAGAGAGGGAGAGAGCAGCTGTTGGTTGTTTGAAAAAACATGCTTCTTCATTCTTTTGACTGTTGACAATCCGTTCAATATTAAAATGCATTATTAGGTGAAAAGGCAAAGTTTGGCCAGCCTGAGATTACACTGGGTACAATACCTGGAGCAGGAGGCACCCAAAGACTAACTAGGGCCATTGGGAAATCAAAAGCAATGGAAATGATACTAACAGGTAACAATGGAGAGACACTAGAGCCTCTTTAATGTTGAGTATTAGGAGAATTTATGAGTGCACAGGAGGCAGAGAAAGCAGGTCTTGTTAGTAAAGTGTTTCCGGTAGAGGAACTGGTAAATAGACTCCATTAATGAATTAAACACCATTAATGAATTAATGAATTAAACACCTTTATTATATGTGTCTTTTGTATTATGTCTACTGGTAGGTGGGAGAGGCTATCAAGTTAGGTGAACGTATTGGTGAGTTCTCACAGATTGCAGCTGCAATGTGTAAAGAAGCCGTTAACATGTCTGACGAATTACCACTCAGTAATGTAAGAACTAACAATGTACTGCAGTAATACATTATGTACTGTATTAATACTGCATGTACTGTACTGTATTAATACATGCTGTGTGTGTACTTAGGGTTTGTTGTATGAGAAGAAATTGTTCCATTCTTCATTTGCTACTGATGACAAAAGAGAGGGAATGACTGCCTTCCTTGAGAAACGTAAACCAGACTTTAAAGACAATTAATAATCGAATAATGATAAAAAATTAATTAATACTACTACAAAAATAATGATAAAATTTAATTAATACTAGTACTACAAAAAATAATAATAGTAACTGTTATTGTTGCTTAGTGTTCACAACAAGGAATTTGACCTTTTAATGTGGTCATAAAGTATAACAAAAGTAGATCTAATGAATAGCTACATTCTTACTAATAATAGTTACTAATATTTATAATATTTTGAGATTTGACGATAAACATCACCATTTAATTTTAATTCTGCTTTAATTGTAAAAGGACTTTCGGTTTTAGCAGAAATATTCCACGAGGCTTCATTATCGTTAGATTTAGAGGTTTCATCTATTTTGCAAGGAACTGCTCGTTGTTTTGGGCCAATGACAACACAAGAAATATCAAAATCTGGAAACAGCAACTTCGTCGTAGAACGATAGCGGAAATTTGTGGGCAACGCTGCCATTCTTGTCCATTTAAAATCTATTTTCACAATGTGGAATGAGGTTATTGGTTCATTTATACTAAAGGAAACTGATCCATTGATCAGCTTAATATCAGTGTCACTGGTACTGGCACTTGTAGTGGGCGGTCCCCATCCTCCGGTCTTTACTGGCCGTGCTGAAACAAGCTTGTCATTTACACAAAGTAAAGGCCCAAAATTAATAGGATTCCATATCATTGATTTTAATTTGTCCATTGATGACATTGATTTGCAACCTTGAACAGCAAACTCTAATAATGATAATTTGCTGTTTTTCATAAGCTGATCAGCTGATTTTATCTCAGATTCCAGCATTCCTATTGCCTTATTCACTGAATCCTTTTCAGTGGAGAGTGCTTTTGAATATTGGCTGTAGTGAGTGTCAACTTCTTTGAGTAACTTGTCCTTATGCTCTGTATCCTTCACATTCTCACTAATGAACCCTTTTAGCTTGTGTGGATAAGAAGTGGTGTGCTTTTCAGCTTCAGCAATCTCTTCAGAGTGAGACTGGAATGACTTCAAGTGTTTTAAAAGACACTCAAAATCTGATTTTAAATGAGCCTTTATGCTTTCTCTAGCTGATGTAACTGACTTGGTCTCGTGTTTGTAATGATAGCACAGCTCACAGTCCTGACAGATCAAACACTTGCAAGTCATGCAATAAGCGTTGAGAGATTCACTTGAATGCTTTGGACAATTGTACTTTGAAGCTATGTCTGCTTCTTCAGGAAGAACTAGATCGTGTGTATTAAATGTGGCCATTCTTTTGTGTGAATCAGTACAGGGCTTGCAAAGGAAACAGCAGCACTTACTGCAGTATCTAACAGACTCATCTGCTGACTGGCACTGACCACATGACTGGCCACTAGGTGTAGCTACAGCAGTACTGCCATCATCTGTAGCTGCTGGACTAACTGGAATAGGTAAGGGTTGTAGAGTTGGTCTCAATGATAAGCTGGTGATATTGGGACCAAATTGAAAGGAAGACTGTGGAAAAGTGAAGCTCTGTCGCTGATTCATTGCTGTAACTAGGGTAAGGAAACTAACCAACAAGTAACTTCAAGTGTAGGAGGATACTGTGTAAGCTGTTTATGTAGGCGAGGAAGTGTAAATTTTTGGTGATAGATCTAAACTATAATCTAATTCTTACAAAAATAAAGAAAAAACAAAGTCTATTAAAAAGTTAAAAAATCTAAATACCGATAAAAGGACAAACAAAACTGCATTAATCATCATAATCATAACCATAAACATCTTGTTGTGACCAATGCACTTGTCTTGGTTGAGGATTGTAGTAGTGCTGTTGGGAGTGAACTTCAACTTGACCTGATCTTTCTAATGTGATAGTTGTCATCTTTTCACTAAATTCATCGTCATTAATGAGAAGCTTCACTGTCACTTCGTAGTCTCCTGCCTCTAATGATTGGAAAGTAATTTTCCACTTTTCACTGTCCCCACCAAGAACTTTTGCTGTAGAACAATTAATTTGCTTTTTCGAAGCACTAGCTGGAGCTGGACCGTTACACTTGCAGGAAATACTCAAATTGGGAAAAATTGCTTTATTTTGGTGTAGAAAAACTTCAGCTTCTATGCAGTATGTCCCATTCTTTACAAATGTAGCTCTTTCATTACCTCTTAAATGACTTGCAGACATCAATGCTACTATACTTTTTTTTAATTTTGCAGATGCATTGTGTCCCTGATATCCTTTTGGGTATAGCTGTAACTCAAAATTATTGACAAGCCTCAATAGCCCAATGTGTTGAATTAAATATTCTTCATTTGAAAGAATATCTGACATTCCTAGATGCTGTGAATGCGAAGCAATTGGGTAAGCTCCATGGTAGTTTTGGTATGGATCATGTGCTTGGTATGGATTAGCTTCTACTTGTGCTATGTATGCTAATGGTCCAAGATTTTTGATGGTTGAAGGATTCCAAGATAGAGTCTGTGATTCTTGCATTGACAAAAGTACTTGAGTACCCAAAATAGAAACTTCCAATTTGTCAGCACTACGAACTAATTGGTCAGCAAAATTTATTCCAGCTTCAAGTTTGCAAATACCAGTTTCTACAATATCTTTTTCACAATAAAGTGTTTTAGAGAAACCATTATATTGAGTGTCTACGTCTCTTAAAAGAGTCGCCTTGCGCTGTTCCAACTGTAACTTGAGGGCTTCAAAATGTGACGTGATGAAGGACTTCATTTTATCTGGATATGTAGTGACATGTTTCTCTACTAATGCAATTGTCTTGGCGTGTGAACGAAACGTTTCCAAATTAGTTTGCAGCTGATCACGATTTGATTTTAAACGTTTTTTAATATCAGTTGCAGCCTCTTCTCCTGGCTTAAACTTGTGTCCTTGATGAGTGTACAAGGCACAGTCTCGGCATATTACAACTTTACAAGAGACACAGTAAACATCAAGCAATTCCTTTGGATGGTTTAAACACTTGAAAGACTTTGGTTTGGGCTTCATCTGTGCCTGGCTAGGGTCAACCACCTTATGAGTCTGGAATGTGGCCATACGTGTATGTGCCTGATGGCAGAGGTCACAAAGATAGCTTTCACATTCACAGCAAAAGCTCACTACTTTTTGAGTTCGACATTGGCCACACTTTTGAACCGGAAGGCTCACTTTACCAGCCAGTTGTGTGTTGGCCAATAATTTATCAACTCCGCCAGTCCCTAGGTTGTGTTCAGTTCTACACAATGGACATTTGACTGTTCTACTTCTGACCGAAGGAAGCCTGCTAAGACAGGCCCTACAAAAACTATGAAGGCAAGGTAGTAGACGTGGATCAGAGTATGTAGATTGACAAATAGTACATATCTCAGTCATCTTTGACGCCATTGCAATTGGGAATTTGGGATGGGAGCAAATGAGCCACACCCTTTTCCTTTGTAAGGATTGCTGCAAATATTTATATAGCTACCCTTGGTAATCTATAAAACTAATATATATAATATCGATAATTAAGTGATGAAGCCTCATTTTACAACACACTACAATGTGTTATGTTAGTAAAGAACTTTTCAATGATCCTTGTTTCTTTTATTGGTGTGGTACATCCTTTATAGTCATTCCAACCTGGCCTGTAATGATAGGAGAGGCCCATTGTATCAGGAACTATGTATTCTTTTAAGTACTTGTCTGACCGATAAGACAGCAGAAGGTGTCCCCATGCAGTGAATACTGCATCAGGTTTAACTATCATCTTTACTGACTGGCCTCCTGTTTCAAGACAATACTCAGACCTCTTGAAGTAAACTGGTAGTGAATCAACTCTCAATCCGTCACAGCTCTTTGAGTTTAATGCTTCAGTAACAATGGGCAGGGCCTTGGAACCTCTGAGCAGTGCATTAGTAAATATGAATGAACCAGCTCTCCTTGCTTCTTCTATAGTCTCCAGTTCTCTCAGCATATCTGGTATGTTGTTGTGTTTCAAAGGAACAAAGAACTCATCTGCATCATTCAGTCCGAGATATTTCACTTTATGCATATTCTCCCAAATACATTCAGATATAACTCCAGTCTGTCCATAGTAGTATGAATCAACACTGGTTAGTGGTGGCTCCAACTGCCAGTCCAATACTTCTACTCTCCCCTTGTCAATGTAAGGTCGTAATACGTTATAAACCTCCTGTGGAGCCTTCATTTGGAGGTACAGCATTATGACTTCTGCTCCTAACTCCATGTTCAACTTGACCCAATCATGAATGACTTTAGGGGAAAGGTTCTCAAATGCTTTATGAAGACATATCCCAAAATTATATTTAGGCGGTTTATCCTCAACAATCCTGATGAGAATAGAATCAGACTCAGCAAGACATTGTTTGTTGGTAGATATTGTGACATGTGATACAGAACCTGTCTGATCAGGCATTAACGGTGGACTGCGTATCAAATAAAGTACATAGGTGTCTCTGCCTTTGAGAGAACCAAGTTCTAATGAGGTAGACAGGCAAGAGACAGCCTGGTTATATTTATCATAAATCTTGAGGAATATGGCTGGAGGGTGTCCTTTCTTCTCATACTGCATTGATAGGAGGTTAATGCTAACATTGTTCCCATCTCTCTTGTCAAGGTAACCTAGTCTCCTTATCTAGTAAAACAGACTTTACTAGTGTAGCATTGTGAAATGATTCTTACAATAAACTCTTTTGATATTTGTATCCAGAGGTCACTCTGATTGTTAGGATACTGGCCATGTCTGAGTGGATCAGGTAGCAGCTATTGAAGGAATTATTAAGCATTATCTACAGACATGACATTACCTTGTCTGTATGCATATGGTCTTCCTCCTCCTCACCATAGGTACTAGCAAGAGTACTCTTGATACTAGGTCCTTTTCTAGTATCCATGATCTCTCCTGGAGCCTAAAAATAAACAAGTTTATACTAGCATCCACCACCTCCCCCATCAGCTGACTCTACTCTGCTACAATAACATACACTTACATATCTGAACACAAGAAAGAGAAGAAGAGCTAATAAGACTGCTAAGAACAACTTGGTGACAAACTTCATCTTTCCTTAGCTACTGAGGAATGGATATTCACGGGTATTTTTCACAAGTGGCAATAAATACCGTCAGTGCTTAACACTCAAAACAGGAGAATTGTATTCATAATATTAAAAATAAAAAAACAATGACACAATGATATTCATTAGTTATTGTATTTCAGTTATTGTTCCACCTATTGGTCCTCTGATGATAAGATGATCCCTCACTATTCCTCCTATCATAATGTCCACCTCCTCCTCCTCCTCCTCTATGATGATGAGAATATCTTCTATTGGATCTGTCTCCTCTATAATCTGTGAGATAAAACAATAGGTAATGGATAAATACCTCCCACAAAGTGTTTATGGAATTTGGAAACAGAGGGCAAAGCCCAGGGTTTACAAATTCCATTTAACACCTCATAGGATGTTTATCTGTTTAAACACATCCATGGAGACATAGTTATGACAAGCAGTTAATTTGTCGTATTTTTGCATCATGTAGTAGTCTCCACAGCATTTGGAAACCTCATTCATATCATTAGCATCAAACAGAATTATTCATGAATAGTTTAAAATAATTATACTGACCCCAGTAGTGTTGCTGATCCTCAGGTCCATTATAATACTCCTCATACTGTCCACCATGATAAGGTCCTCTGCCTCCATGATAAGGTTCTCTACCTCCATAAGGTCCTCTGTTATGAGGTGTGTCCCCATGGTATGGTCTGTTGTGAGGTGGGTCTCCATGGTATGGTCTATTGTGAGGTGGTCCTTCATTGTAAGAGTCCCTTGAGTACTCATGGGGGTACTGTTGATCAGGAGGGACGTTGTCATGGTAACTGGTATATGAATAGTGTCCACTAGTACTCCGTACAGCAGAATAGGCACCTCGGTCACTGCTTGTAGCCACGCCCCCACCCTGGTACCCTGCCCCACCCACTTCCCTTAACCTCTCTCCTTCAATCCCTTTAGTAAGTTCAGGTCCTTTATTAGAATGAGTCTGGTCAGTAGGTGTGGTCACTACATTAGTGTTAATGTTAGTTTGTATTGCTAACAGTCGTTCATCAAGAGATGGTTTGGATTCTCTCTGACCAATCACTGGCTTCACGTTACTCTCACTCTCACTGCCAGTGGGCGGGGCCTGACCTGGTGAGGACACACCCTCTTGTGACGGCTGTATTGTAGACATTGCTGATGCTAGTTCCTGTAGTTTCTCATCACTCAGTGTTGATAGGATTGACTGTATTCCAGACTGGCTGATGCTCCCGCCGCTACTGGTACCAGCTGAAGGAACTGGCTTGGTTTCAGCAGTAGCTTCTTCTTGCTGTTTATTGTCAAAATCCTTTGACTCGCCATAAAAGGAAACTTTTATTGGTACAGTAGGTGTGTCAGGAGGTGTGGCTCCATCAACTCCAATTTCAACCTAAAGACAAAATAATGATTATAAAAAAATTAATTGGATAAAATGATTTTACAATAAATAGCAATTTATAACCACACCCCTACCTTGTGTTTCCGCTCTGTTCCAGTGGCTGTTACATGTACGTCCTGTGGTTCTGGTACATGTACATGTGATGAAGGCCTCCTCTTTGGTGGAGAGGCAGTTGTTGGTATGACGACATTTTTAATTCGAGTTATAACACACAAGAACATGTCCTGTCTGGTAGGAGGGAGTCCTAAAATAATATTAATTATTTCCGTTATTATTATTATTATTATTAATGTTATTATTATCATACCTGGTCCATCAAAGGGCATTATTTGGGGTGGTATTGGCTCATTACTCAACAGTGGAATGATATACATATCCTTAACAAAAGCACTGCACTGCATCACACCTGTACAATAAATAATAATAATAATAATAATAATAATAATAATAATAATAATAATAATAATAATAATAATAATAATAATAATAATAATATGTACTTATGCTGACCGTATCTGTGTTTATGAATGAGGTACTCCATCATTTCAATGAATTCCCTTTCCTCATACTCTATCCTCTCAAACCTTAGGATGACAATCTCCTAAAGGAACACAGGAGGAGTCACTAATGATATTCATTATTATTATTATTAATTACCTTTGTTGTTGAACACTTCAGTTTGTCAATATAGTCCCATACCTGAGCATGAGCTATTCTTCCTACTATCTGTATAGTCTGGGGAAATATCTAGCAACAGTATCACCACAGGGTCCCTACCAGTTGGTACTTACCTCATGGAGTCCCTGGGCCCTTCCTGAGACATGATAAGCAACTGCTGAAAAGGTAGGCATGGCATGCATGCTGATATTACCAGACCATAGAGGGGGAGGGAGGGAGGAGAGAGGAGCAGCTGGTCTGCTCAGTGAGTCAGGAGAAGTGACTATATGATCAATACCTTCCCTTGAATCAGGACTAACAAGAGAGAGTGACAATAAGTTAAACTAAGAGACACAATGTACCTCTTGATCACTGAATCATCATCATCATTAGTAGCCTCTTCCTCTTTGACAGACTGAGTTGGTTCATTCCCAGTGCAAATGGAACAGTTTTGATCAAATACATGAGTACCGTGCTTAGACGTGGTGTCATTCAGTAACGAGAACATTAGAGAATCCTAATAATATACAAGGACGTACACAGTACATGTACATGTACATGTATTTAAAGTCTCTTACGGCAGGTGGTGTGTAAATAGGCTCATTCTTAGTTCCAGCTGGTCCAGTTGGTTCGTTGGTGGTTGAAGATACTTCATCATGAGACTTTACATCAAGTACAGGAACCGTCTGTAACTGAAGCTCATGGACAGTTCAGCTGCTAATGGACTTACATTATCCCTCTCAATCTCAACCTCTCCTTTGTAGGTCATCTTACGAACCACAGAACTCATTTGGAGTTCTTCCTTGGCCACTTCCTGTATCATTTCCAGTTCTTTCTTTATTGTCTTCTCTCTCCACTCCGCCAGTTCTCTCGATGCCAACTGCTCAGGACTCATCCTCACCAGCTGCTTAGTGGAGAGCTCACCACACAATATCTTCTTAAATAAACCCTAAAATATAATAATAATAATAATTATTATTATCATTAAAATTACTTCATTTTTTGTGTCCTTCAAATTGAATAAAAGGCTCCTGCACTTGACACGATATTTTTGATTCGTTTCCTAAAACAATAAAATAACATTAAAACACATTAATACCCTAGGGACCTGGTTGTGTAGGTTGTATAGCTTCAGTTCAATGTCCTTAGATAACTTAAGAATCACTTCATCACTTGGTCTCTCTTCTTCTGGTACCAACTGAGACCTGATAATGGGAGTGGCTAAACCACACCCACTGCCACACCCCTTACCTTGTATGCAGCACCTGTTTCAGAGCCTTTTGGGCGTGGCTCCGAACTGATTCAGTGTTAAACTTGCTACCAGCGGATTCATCATCTTTCCTGTCCTCGTCCTGAGACTTACGAGAGGAAGGAACCTTTTTAGAACCAGGAAGGACTACAAGAGAGTAAAGTGGGTGTGGTTTATTCTAATTAGTCCCCACCTTTAGTCGATGGTACATATACTTTATACGTGGGGTGGTTCTTGATCCAGGGTAGGAGGGACTTCTCACTAGGGGCTGCCAGACCAGTCAGTATCTTCTTGCTCCTTGTATCCACTACAGTAACACCACCTGATCCTTTGCCCAGTTCAGACCCAGTTCCGTGGGACAGGCCGAGGATGGAGAGCTTCTTTAAACTGAACTCAATATGTCTGTCATTAGAAGAGAGGGTAGCAGTAAGTAGTGTATACCATGTGTCTCTTACTTCTTAATGCATCCTTCACTGCAGTAGATGTTACTGGTAATGGCTGATCTGTCACACCCTGGACCACCACAAGTACATTTTTCCTGTTTAACTGGTTTGACTGGTTGAGAGCTCTTTACGTTACCTGATGATGCTGCCTGTCCTCTCTATTGAGGTGGATCCATTATTACATGTACATGTACATGTACTATAGGTACCTTTTCTAACAGCTGGTTGATCTGTTTGGTCCTTAGCTCTTCTCTTCTTGATAACCTCATGCTTCTGCTCTTTGCTTTCTCAGCCTTTGAAGCAACTTCATTATCTATTAATACATTAATAATAATACATTAATAATAATAATAATAATAATAATAATAATAATAATAATAATAATAATAATAATAATGATCCATTAATTAGACTAGCATACCGTTACAGTTGATACAGAGGTAGTCCTGCCCGTTCCTTTCCATCCTCTTCCCCTCGGCCACACTGATACCAACGCAGTCACCGTGGTACCACTCACCACAACGATCACAACAAATCATGAACCTAGTCCAGCATACAAATAAATAAATAAATAAATAAATAAATAAATAAATAAGTGTATACCTGTCATTATGAGGCTGTTTACAGATACACCAAACCTTGTCAGGATCATCACTGTCCTCTTCCTCTTCCTCTTCTGATGATGAAGATGATGAACCAACTCCTTCATCATCATTATTATTATTATCAGAAGGTGTGTCTTCTTCATTATTATTGGATTCGCACTGTTCATCAGTTTGCTGACTTTGCTCCTCTTTAACTTTTACTGTCAACATTAATGATAATAATAATAATCAATAATAATAATAATCAATAATAATATACCCGTCCTCTTACGTCCGTCAGTGGTTCCAGAAGGTTCTTGAGGTATGCTTGAGGTATTCTTTGGTTTCTTAGCTGGTAAAGGTACTTCATTTTGTTCGCTGGTTCTTGACCTCAGTCTCTTGGAGCGTCTGAAAGTGGTCACCTCCTCAGACACACCCTCCCCCTCCTCCTCCTCCTCCTTCCTCTCGCTGGTAGTACTTACCAGTTCATCAGGAGCTGGTAAAGGAGTAACACTCTCCCCATCTTCCTTCATTACTGTACTACTATCTGCTTTATCACTAACAAGAACCTGTAATTATATCAATAATAATAATTAATTAATTAATTAATAATTTAAAAAGGGTTTCCCACAGGTTTTTGGTATAGTGTTCATGCCAGCTGCTGCTTCTTGTTAGCATAAAATGTAGTCAAAGTCCCTGTACTATAGCACAGGGATTTTGGCAAAATTTTGCCAAAAAAAGATAAAGAATTCTCCATTTTTATAATTTTTCCTGATACACATACATGTTTTAATGTTGTGTAGAAAGTTTGAGTCAATTCCAATCAGTTTTGGATTTTTTACAATTTTTTAAAGTTGCTCCAAAATTGGGCCAAAGTCCCTGTACTATAGTACAGGGATTTTGGCAAAATTTTGCCAAAAATAAAAAGTAAAGAATTCTCCATTTTTATAACTTTTCCTAATACATATACATGTTCCAATGTTGTGTAGAAAGTTTGAGTCAATTCCAATCAATTTTGAATTTTTTACAATTTTTTAAAGTTGCTCCAAAATTGGGCCAAAGCCCCTGTACTATAGTACAGGCATTTTGGCAAAATTTTGCCAAAAATGAAAAGTAAAGAATTCTCCATTTTTATAACTTTCCCTAATACATATACATGTTCTAATGTTGTGTAGAAAGTTTGAGTCAATTCCAATCAATTTTGGGTTTTTTACAATTTTTTAAAGTTGCTCCAAACCATTGACACATACAACCCAAACATAATATTAGAATCATTAACTTATTAAAGGTTCTTAAAGGTTCTTACTTGGTTGTTATTATCTTGTACAGAGTCAAATCCTCCTGGAGGTGGTGTCATTTCCAACGTCTCTTCAATACTTGATATCAGCTCGGTTCCAGTGGTACCAGGATCAGCTGATCCATTGTTTCCCTCTTGTACCAGTGTCTTGTTAATGTCCTCATCATCAGCCAGTCCAATGAGAGGTACCGTACCAACGTCCCCTCCACAGAAAATGTCTTCAAATTGTGTTGATAGTAGCGGAGGTCCAGGTCCCTTGGGCAGGTCAGGTAGAGTCCATTCAGAAGGAAAGGAGGCGTGGTCATCATCTTGATCCATGAGTGGGCGTGGTTCAATCAATATCACTTCTATTATAAAGGATGGTAGTAATGAGGCCGTACTGAGGACTAACCTTCTACACTAAGAGTGTCTTTGAACTCAATCTTTGATGAATATCTCTTCACTTTAGGAGGTGTCACACTTCAAATACGCACGTGCATATTTTAATTTTACTATTGTTCTTTTAATTAGAAATAAAACTTCATGAGAGCACGTTGGGATCTTATTTAATTTTTCATTAACCCAATCCGTTTAATTAGAAGCAAAACTGCATGCTTAATGGCCGCCAGACTGAGAAGACAATTTCTTTGTTTATTTGCTCAGGAACACACTGACCTGAGGCTACAGGTGCACGTGTATATGCTACTCAATTTTGAATATTATATTGCAGGAATTGAAATCAATAATATCCATTCTTAATGTCAACGTTACATTCAATGAAGCAGATTATACAAATAAAGTTGTTATTAATAATAATATTGTTATTATTATTATTATTATATTGCAGAGTCCTTTCCTAGTACTCAGTGCTTCATCTGATGAGGAGGTTCAATCTATCGCCAGGAGATCAGTACTCATTAAGTACAACACCCACACATTTAATTAATTATACTGTATCATACCTATAGGAGTGTGTACCAGCTGATAGGACGGGGGAATTGTTACGATAGTTTGAAGACATGTCTCATGGGACTCCCAACACATGTCATGGTAGAATTATTATTATTTTATTTTATTTTATTTATTTAATTAGGAACCTTATTCTAAACCAGGTTATACATTTTGTGTGAGAGTCAAGTCTTTCAATAAGAAACTGAACACTTCATACATGATAAATGCAATTGAAGTAATGAAACCTATATAGTGTAGGTATATCATTGTTTTATCATACATTATATAGTGGCTCTCATTCCTTCCCTTTGCTGGTAAGGTTAATCTCAGTGAGCCAATGCATGAGTTCCACCTCCTGGAGGATTATGGAGAAAGACAGGACAAACCTCCTGAGCATCCTAAGCAAATATTCTTCTGTAAACTGGTAATAATAATAATAATAACAATAATCATGATATTATTATTATTATTAGTTATCGATAGGTCAGAGACATTTAATAAGTACCTATTCACTGAGGACAAGGCAGTTCATTGGTAATACATCAATGGACCCTCTCCTCTCACTAGTGATGGCTAACATGGCACAAGTACATTAGGTCATGATACAGTATCTCATTCCTCATTACAGGTCTCACCAGGTAAACTGGTTTATGATCCTTTTGCTGGCTCAGGTACAGGCTCTGTTCAAACTAACAGTCTCATTGTCTCATGTAGGGAGTATACTGATAGCCTGTGCTCATTATGGGGGCTATGTACTGGGATCTGATATAGACTGGACTATAATACATGGGAGAGGTGATAATGATAGAAATACTAATACTACTACTACTACTACTACTACTACTAATACTAATAATAATAATAACAATAATAACTGTAATAATAATGATTGCTATAGGTAAATCCTCCAGGTCATCAAGTGCTGGAAAGTGGAGAGGTTAAGCCTAAGATTTCATTTTGAATTATTTTTTTAATTTCAAGGACGTCATGAAAGTGTTAGGAATAATTTGTCCCAATATTCACTAGAGCATCAGTACATTGATATGATGGTCTCTGATGTGTCCAACTCAGTCTGGAGAGAGAAAGAAATCATTGATGCCATTGTGACTGACCGTAAGATTGTTACTATTATTATTATTAAACTATTATTATTATTAATGTCGTTATTAGCTCCTTACGGTATTCGTGAAGGGTTGAGGTGTATTGATGACACTCTAACATCAAAAGAAGAGGAGGGACAATTGTGAGATATTTTGTTTAATTTTATAAAAGTTTATGAGATTATTTGTAAAGGAAAGAGATCAAGTATAACTTGTCAGCAGTTATATTTGACTTACTCAAACTGTCAGCAAGACTTCTAGTAAAAGGAGGTAGACTAGTGTACTGGCTGCCATTCATCGGGGACAAGTAATGAACTGATACTTTGTGATATGATGATAGCTGATTGTACTGTTCCTGTCTATGTCATTTTTAAGGTTTGATCCTAGTTACATTCCTAAGCATCCTTCCCTGTCTTTGGTCTCAATGTCTGAACAATGTCTATCACAAAACTTTGCATCAAGATGGCTGATCACTATGGAGAAGACACTGCAGTTTAATTCATCTTTGGAAAAGGTATTCTTCATCCATTCCTTCTAATAATTATCATCATTATTTATTTATTTTATATTTGTTATTATTGTTGTTATTTCACAGGATCTGGTTCATCCTGACTTAACTCCGTTTGATGATTTTAGAGAAAAGTATTTTCAAAAGAAATAAATCATTACTAATGCTGTAATGCACAACAATTATTAAATATTTATTATTATTTAATTCAAACAGAATAGTTTCACTTTGTTTCCCTCAGTTGTCATAATTATGCTGTTTTCCCAACAGCAAATAGTTTCACTGATGCAGCTCCAGCAGCAATAGCTACTTCTTTACAAGCTCTTAATGTAGCACCACTTGTCCAGACATCGTCAAAGATAAAGACTTCTTTGTCTTTCATTTTTTCAGGAACACTGACTTCAATTGTTTCTTCATGTCTAGTCTGATCTCTTGCTCCCGGTCCACCTTCTGTTGATTTGGGAACTTTGCCTGTGCGATGTAACAGAGTCCTACCATCAATGATGTTATCCCTAGCAATGAATTGTCCCAAAATACTGTACAATAGATTTCCTTCTCCAGTGGAATCTTGAGAATGTCCTGGTGCAATAGCAATGACTACAGGAGCTTTGACTCCACTTAGGATGTCTTCTTCTATCCATGTACAAACATCAGCTTCAAACTCATTCTTCCTGGTAGGATCATATAATATTCTTTGTTTAAGGAAGGAGAGAGTTTGAGAATCACTTCCTGGCCTGTGCTCAGGATTAGTTCCACCTCTGTACGGATGGTAGTCTATCATGTAGTCATCAAGTTCCATTTCCAATCCACTATTAATTGTGTGTTAAGGACAAGGTTAATGATGGTGTGACTGTGCTATCAGGTCAGGAGACTTTCCTTATCTATCATTGGCCTCGCCCAGCTTTGCGTAGGCGAGGACTAGTCTAGGTACTCGTTATAATAATATCCTATCACTGCCTAGGCCCTATTGTAGATAGGAGGAAGATAGAGTGGTTTCAGTGACGTCACATTTTGACGTCATAATTACTTCCGTATGGCAAAAATTGATGAGCCTCACTCGTTTACAGCAGTAAAGTTGCTTCTTCTATAACTTCTTTCATACAGTACAAGGCAGAAAATGAGTAAAGTTATAGCAGTAGTAAGCAGAAAAGTAGCGATAGAAATAATTATAGGAGTAACAAGACAAGGCTGTGTTCACTTCAGCCGCTTCACTGGTTCTCTATCCGAGGAATTTTTGCTTCCTTTGCATCCCTGAGTCCAGGAAAATGAAAGAGCAGCATGAATTAGCCATGCTCATAATTAAGGAAGCCTGCCAGAAGAGTTTATATCGCTGTACAAATGAATGGCAAAGTAGCCATTTGCCATACGGAAGTAATTATGACGCATGCTGTGACGTCATATGAAACCGCTCTATAAGATGAAAAAATCTGCTGTTGCCATAATAATTATGATGACAATAAAAATTAACATTAATACAATAGGTGATTGAGGGATTCAAGAAGAGAAAGCGGTTGCTCATGAGTCATATCAGTCAATATCTGCAACAGCCTGTACATGTTCATTTAACAGATGCAAATGGCAGCAAATCAGACTCTTACAAATGTTATACTAGCAGTAAATATACAGTGCTAGCTATATTATCATTATTATTATTATTATTATTATTATTATTATTATTATTATTATCATTATTATTATTATTATTATTATTATTATTATTATTATTATCATTATTATTATTATTATTATTATTATTATTATTATTATTATTAAGCTTTATAGCACGGAATAAAAAAGTGTAAATCAGAGGGTAATGAATTATGTGAGCTGAAGGAAACCCAATAAATACACTGGGCCCCTACTTCAAGCTATAAGCTGCATATTAGTCTCATTGAGGAATACTAAATTTAGAGTGTGTATTTTTTGTTGATAATAACAGGGATATAATAGACTAACGTAACCGGGATTGGTTACGGACCGGAAGTCAATTATCAGACTCTGTAATAATATCCTATCACTCAGACTCGCCATCTTGAAAATCATAACAGAGACTGCAAAAAGTTTTTATACACAAATGATGCGCTCACGTGATCCCGTTGCCAATCCCGGTTACGTTAGTCTATCCCTGATAATAATGATTAAATCATAGATACTATATACCCCTGGATATGAAACACGGGCCGACCGGATGTTCTGAGGCTTGTTTCACCGGAAATACGTCATATTACGTTTTCATTCAGAATAAAAATAAAACAATGATAAAAAGTATTATTATTATTGCTAATAAAAGTGTGATTTTATG